TCGTGTCCTCTTTCGGAAGACCAAACAAAGTAGTTTCACTTTCACAACGAAACACACGGTGTCACACATAGCGGCTAGAGTGAGCGGCGGCGGGTGGGCTTGAAAACGGCACAGCCGGCAGATTCGATGAAGGAGGCTTGCGGCAATCACATGTGACGACTCCGGGCTGGACTAGAGCGAAGTTGATGTATTTCCTCAGCGACCAGCACGGATCAGCGCTAGGCATGAAGAAACGGATATTGTCCTCTTTTGGAAGGCCAAACAAAGTAGTTTCGCTTTCACAACGAAACACACAGCGCCTTCAAGACATGGCGGCGGCAACAATACTACAGCAAGAATAAAAATTACGCGTTCTTTCTTTGCGTGAACATTTGGGAGGCGTTATGCAAATCTTCCCACATAGTGACGTAGATATGTGGGGGCGTGTTAGAACGAGCCGTTTTAGGTAGGTGTGGTTGACTCTTAACTTTTATAAAGAATATCTCTTTGGATTTGAGACTTTAGTCTTTGCAACTTTACAGATCTTCTTTATGCACCAAGAGCTTGTAACACTCCAAAGAGAAAGGAAAAATTTTAATCGCATCTTATGACCCCTTTAATTAAAAGTTTATTTATTTATTTTATTCTTTAAAAAAAAAAAGGCCCCTTGGAAGTTTGCTGAGGCCCCCTAGTGGTTGTCGGCACCTGTTTGAGATGCAGCAAATCAGTTATGAGATAAACATAGAATCAGAAAGAATAGAATAATCAGTGATTTATATTTCATAAAGTCCCGACTGCTACCTTGTGTTAAAAATAAGGTGGATTATTTGTCCATTTTGTCTGTTCTGTACCATATTTGTGCTACCTATATTGAACCCCATGGCAGATGATGTTAAGCATCTTAGTTGTAAGATTGCTCCTTAAAGGTTTCCCTGCTCATAATGACTATTAAAGATATGCAAATTTTTGAGAAGACGTTAACTTTTCCTTCTTATTTCTAGACTGTGAGGCCTCTTTCAAGGGCAGGTTTAAGTTGCGAGAGCACATGCGTAGCCACACACAGGAAAAGCTGGTGGCATGTCCGACCTGTGGAGGAATGTTCGCCAACAACACAAAGTTCTTTGACCACATTCGACGACAAACCTCGATTGAAGGTGAGGGCGTTGTGTTTGAGGTGGTACACATGCAGAAACAGCAATAACGGAATTTGAAAACCTTCAGTATTTAACTAATTTGAATTATTTTATTGAACATAACAAAAACATTTATTAGATTGATTAGCATGGCTCATTGCACCCATTTGTTTGTGTGCAAATGTGTCTGCAGGTCAAAGATTTCAATGTTCTCACTGCTCTAAACGTTTTGCCACTGAGAGGCTGCTGAGAGACCACATGAGGAACCATGGTATGGGTCTTTTTGTATGTCGAGTGTCATAGAGGTTGTACTTTGTTCTGCTGTATTGGACCTCACTGGCTTTTATTGCCTAATGATGTTCTTCTCTGTTCTCTGATCAAAGTCAACCATTATAAATGTCCACTGTGTGATATGACCTGTCCATCACCATCCTCGCTGAGAAACCATATCAAGTTTCGTCATTCCAACGAGAAGCCTTACAGCTGTGACTACTGCGAGTACAGGTGGGGTCACTTCATTACCACTGAGATGGTGAATCATAATCCCTGGATTTTTCTAATCTTTCCGTCTGCCATTTAAGACCTGTTTGTCAGAACATGATCTGTCAGTTTGTTTGTTTGTCTGGTTTTTCAGCTGTAAAAACCTGATAGACTTGCGGAAGCATTTAGACACACACAGCAGTGAGCCAGCATATCGATGTGACTTCGCTGATTGCGACTACTCCACCCGCTCCCTTTACTCAATCAAGAACCATTACAAACGTGTTCATGAGGTGAGCCAGGCAGAAAATGCCAGCCACATTCATATCTACATAGTATGACTTCAATATAAAATCACGAAACCACTTCTATTGTGTTCCACAGAATAAAGTCAGTCAAGTTTGGAAAGACATGTAGCAAATTATTTTATTTTATTTTTGGCCATGAATATGGCAATAAAAAGGAAGATAAGCAATCAATAATATATAAAATATAAGGACTAATGTTGTTTTACCAATTTTTAATTATTTCAAATGTAGAGAGAGACTTGTGTTTTATAGCCTGAAGTAAGAATTGTTTTAGTAGGAAGGACTCTTACAATGATAATGTCCAAGGTTTGATCTATAATAATGATCTATCTAATCTATAAATAATTAATGTGGGAACTTCTATAGATGTAACTTCTCTCATTCAGCCAGCACACATGATTAATGTATAAAATACAAAGGCAGAAAACATTGTGAGCAAACAAAATTAAATGAAATGTGCGTCAGAAAGTGAATACAATTCTACATCATTACATTTGCACTCATATTCAGCTCATAGCTTCAGAATAGCTAAAAATGTTTATTTGCTGTTTTGCATTTAGGGAGATTACACTCCTCGCTATAAGTGTCATGTGTGTGAGCAATGCTTCACCCGGGGGAACAACCTCACTGCCCACCTACGCAAGAAACATCAGTTCAAATGGCCTTCAGGACACCCGAGATTTAGGTATGAAGACTTCCTCCTTCCTTTTAGTCTGGTCTCCTTTTGCTTTTGATTTCAGAAAGTTCTTTCTAGTTTTGTCTGTAATAAACATTCGATGGTCTTTCTCTTATGGGGTGTTTGTCTCAGTTTAAGATTGTTTTTGTTGCTGATTTCCTCAACCTGTGAGTGATCCTGTTCAAAAATGTCTGGTCGGTGAGATTTTTATGGTTTTGAAAGAAGATTGTTAAAAAATAGTCAAAAGCAGTAATATGGTGAAATTTTATTGCAATTTAAAATAAATATTTTCAGTTTTTTTAATACAATTTAAAGTGTAATTTGTTCCTGTGATGGCAAAGCTGAATTTTCTACTTTTTCAACTTTAGTTAGTCTGAAATGTTGCTGTTTGAGCATAAAAATTATCTGCAAAGCTCAAAGTCCACTTCAAAAGGAGATATTTAATTTAACAGGAATCACTTTTCAAAAACTACAACAAACGACTCGTTTGGACTACAACGCATATTTTCCGGGATTTGTGATATCACAAATACCGACGAATGGGACGAGACCTGGTTGAGCTGCACTAGAGAAGGCAATGAGTGTTATCACTATGTCGGAGACACGCTAGCTTTCCCAAGGCAGACGAACTTAGAGTGGTTACAATCATCCAGGTTTAAATCACGCTCAAATTGATTTGATTTTGATGCAATATTTACACTGAAGCTCGCAGGTGGCTATGGTAAGGGGCATGACATTTCCCGACCAGGTGCTGAGTGCTGCCAATCACAACACACACTGGCCCAGCTAACCAATCACAGCACATTTCGTATTTCAGAAGGCGGGCCTTCATTTGATACAGGAACTATCCGAGCCGTTCATGCCAGACTGGGGAGATAATGTAATCATGTAAACTATGTGAAAAATAATGTGTTTTTCGAACAACCTAGTATAAGAGCCTGTTCAAGTACACCCACAAAACAAAATCAAGACTTTGTAAAAGAGCATAATAGGAACCCTTTAAAGAAATACTGTTGTAAAGAAAACTTAAAATGTAAAAAAAACAAACACATAATGCACCCAAACTTTTGAGTAGATTAACTATACATATAAATGCCATATTCATTTTGAGGTGGGTTTCCAGTGGACCGTAAACCTAACCCATCTAACTTGACTATGGTCTTTTTCACTGTACCAATCTCTTTCAGGTATAAAGAGCATGAAGATGGGTTCATGCGCCTGCAGCTGATCCGCTATGAGAGCGTGGAGCTAACAGAGCAGCTAATGCGGGAGCGGCAGGGAGAGGGGGACAGCAGTGAATCCAGCCAGCAGAACATCCAGCCCGGTGAAGAACTGGAGGAGTTGGTGCCCCTCGGCACCATGGGTGGAAATACAGAGGCAGGAATAAGAAAGGAGGGAGTGAATGACTATAGGACACAGGAAAATACAGAAAGTGTGTTCTTGGTGTTGACAGCCGGCACCTCCTCAGAAACAGACTCTACAAGGGAGGGGTCCGTAATGCATCAGCTACAAGACACTGCCCAACAGCTGGGCATGGAGGTGGTTTAACTGCATCTCTGATTACTGCAACGCCCTAAAACTGCTGTGTCAGACAATAAAAAGGTACATTAGGACATTCCAAATAACTCTGTGACAAAAAGTGCTATGATACTAACAGGGGACCAAAGCAGGAATAGAGTGTGTTTGAGGATGCTGTCGTCATCATCAAACCCCTTGAACACCGCACTGAACAGAACAGATGAAGCTGAATCACAGGTTAGCTCTGAGGATGATTGGTTAAATGAATAGTTCACTCAAAAAGGACCATTTTTGTTATAATTTACTCCATAAATGTCCCCATATTATTTTTGTTTGTCCCAAAACACAAAATGAAATGAGATGTCAAGCGGAGTGTGTGAGTTGCCTTTTTCCATTCAACAAAAATTAATGGTGATTTTTTTTGCACTAAGCTCCAAAATGGACAAAAACACTGAAAGTATGTTAAATGTAGCTCCTGTGACTTGTATGTTTTAAGTATTTATGTGATTTTTATTTTTCCCCTGTTTGGAGCTTAGAAAAGTAAGTCACTTTCCTTGTAGGGAAAACACGCGCGCACACATTTAAGATGTCTTATTTCTTGAAGGACACTGCAGGGTTGGAACCATAAGATTAAATTACGCCATTTTAATTTTGGACTAAACTATCCCTTTGAATTAGACTGTGTGTGTGAGAGAGAGAGTGAGAGCAACAAACGAGAGACAAGAGGGTAAGGGAGAACAGAAATGTATAATAAGATTAAATTACGCCATTTTAATTTTGGACTAAACTATCCCTTTGAATTAGACTGTGTGTGAGAGAGAGAGTGAGAGCAACAAACGAGAGACAAGAGGGTAAGGGAGAACAGAAATGTATCCTACTGAACAGTTTATGTAAAGGAAGATGGACAGATCTCTGTGGAGAACTCTTTACAGTGTATAGTTGTATACAGTGTGCTTCTGTTTTAAAGATTAATTGGAAGTGCTTCTGAACTTTAAACTGGCACCATTCCTCTTTAATTTATTTTTCAACTTCAGATCAGTTCTGTTGTCCAGAAAGGCCCATTCTGGTGGAAGCTTCCAGTTTCTACTGCTGTTCTATCATAGTTGTAGTTAAAATTAATTGTTCCTTTTTTTTTTAAGATATACCATTTCCTTAGGACTTTTATTTGCCATTGAGTCCTAATAATCTTAACTGAGATGGAAGAATTCATTTAAGGCAAACTGACTATACTAAATGACATAATTTTATTTTAAATAAACAATGGCAGTTATTTCAATAAATGTTTTGTCCTCTTTTTGTTCTTTTCTAATTAAAATATTTTGATTGTAAACAGAAATATTTTTTTTGCCATTCAAAGTAGTATTTTTTTTTCAGTTGTGCCATCAGAGGAATGAATTACATTTTAAAATATATTAAAATACTTTAAATTGTAATAGTATTTCACAATTTTACTGCTATCAAATAAATGCAGCCTTGGTGCGCGAGAGACTTCTTTTCAAAAATGTAAAAAAAAAAAAAAATCATCTTACCAATCCCAAACTTTTGATCATTAGTGTCTGTGTATATACTGTATATATTCCTCTGTGAGTGAAAAAATGAAAGCTTGTGTATTCAGGTACGGAGTGTGTTCTGGGGATAATCCACTTTGTTCTGTGATCCCGTGTGCTGTGTGACTGTAAGAACAGTACTTGTAAGTCCTGTTTGTTTGAATCTCTCAGGACAAGAGCCAGCAGGCAGGTTGTGCTGGGTTAGGCAGAAGTTTATGCTTCACTGCAGTAGTCAGAGGTCAGTGTTTGAGGAGCACTTTTCACAGATCCGTATCGTTACAGTAATTACAATCACTGCAGGTCTCAAGCACACTAGGAACTCTGCTTAGGGAAGCGAACCGGACAAGATGTGAGAAACATGAACTTTACAATCAGCACAACTGATATTTAAGCTAAACTGCAAATCAGACTTCCCATGGCTCTCTCCCTTTCTCTGTAATCTCTTTCTCTCTGCTCTGGTGATGTTAGCTGGTGTGTTAACAGAATTTAAGAGATTAGTTTGCGTTAACGGCTTAGTGTAAGCTAAGATGCAACACTTCCCCTTTCTTTCCATCTGTCTTCTGCAGGAAAACAGGTTCTTGAAAATAGCCTTTAAAGAATATAGTTCCTAATGCAAATTGTTTTTCTATATTATTCACATAATGACTTTTACGATACGAGACAACAGAACAAGGAAACGCTGATTAGAAAATGAGTGTGAGACGTTCAGAAGAAGAGAACTGAAGAGATATAAACAACTTGTGTTGTGGAGAAGAATTTCCACCATTAAAACAACATGAAACTAGGAAATCTTCTGCTGCTGTTTCTGGGGTCCTTGAATGTGGTGTTCACTCAAGTGCCTTTAACTGCATTTACTGAAAGAACAGCTGTGGAGGAAGATCTAGGAAGCGGCAAGAGAAGCATTTGATTCATTTATGAACTAACAGGATATCTAAACTAAGCATCAAGATTTATTTTACAAATTGACAAAATGTCGGAAATATTCTCTATTGAAAATTGGTAAAGGATGCATGAATTTGAGCACCGTAGACTGCATTATGTCTCTCAGGTCTGTTGGAGGTGGAACAGGAGGATGAACTGGAGGACACTTACTGGTCCGGGACAGCCCCCCTTTGTTTTGGAGGGTGTAAAGGCCGACTCAAGAGAGACAACTGTGGAGATTCAGACTGCTGAATCAATACCTCATACAAATCCTTCTGTAGAGGTACACCTGATCATCATCTTAAAGGGACAGTTCAATTTCAGTTCAGTTAATTTCTGTCACCATTTACTCACCCTTGTGTCATTCTAAACCTTTATGATTTACTTTATTTATTTATTTTTGTGTCCATGCAGTGGAATCCATTGTAACAAACAAAAAAATCTGTTACTTTGAGAGGTGTTAAAACCAAAATATTTACCAGCATTCTTCAAATATCTTCTTTTGTGTTCAGCAGAAGAAAGTAAGTTAGGTTTGAAACATGATTGAGTTTTCATTTTTGGGTGAACTATCCCTTTATTGTAATGTACTCCATTTTTGTTGCTATCACTATTTCCACAAAACCAAAGATCCAGCTATTGATTTGTGTGTGTGATGAATTGTTTCACATGTTGTTTTGTCTCATGTTTAATCTTTGGTCATTTTCTTTTCCCTAGTGAATTGTGGAAAGCCTGATGTGGACTTTAATGGGATGGTGTATGGGAGTGATTGGTGGGTGGGTTCTGTAGTGCGGTACGACTGCAGGCCAGGGTTCGTGTTGGCGGGAGATCCTGCCTGAGCCTGTCAGTCCAATGGGAAATGGACACCCAAACCATCGTTGTGGAGAAGAATTTCCACCATTAAAACAACATGAAACTAGGAAATCTTCTGCTGCTGTTTCTGGGGTCCTTGAATGTGGTGTTCACTCAAGTGCCTTTAACTGCATTTACTGAAAGAACAGCTGTGGAGGAAGATCTAGGAAGCGGCAAGAGAAGCATTTGATTCATTTATGAACTAACAGGATATCTAAACTAAGCATCAAGATTTATTTTACAAATTGACAAAATGTCGGAAATATTCTCTATTGAAAATTGGTAAAGGATGCATGAATTTGAGCACCGTAGACTGCATTATGTCTCTCAGGTCTGTTGGAGGTGGAACAGGAGGATGAACTGGAGGACACTTACTGGTCCGGGACAGCCCCCCTTTGTTTTGGAGGGTGTAAAGGCCGACTCAAGAGAGACAACTGTGGAGATTCAGACTGCTGCCGGTACTGTCAATACCTCATACAAATCCTTCTGTAGAGGTACACCTGATCATCATCTTAAAGGGACAGTTCACCCAAAAATGTAATTTCTGTCACCATTTACTCACCCTTGTGTCATTCTAAACCTTTATGATTTACTTTATTTATTTATTATTTACCAGCATTCTTCAAATATCTTCTTTTGTGTTCAGCAGAAGAAAGTAAGTTAGGTTTGAAACATGATTGAGTTTTCATTTTTGGGTGAACTATCCCTTTATTGTAATGTACTCCATTTTTGTTGCTATCACTATTTCCACAAAACCAAAGATCCAGCTATTGATTTGTGTGTGTGATGAATTGTTTCACATGTTGTTTTGTCTCATGTTTAATCTTTGGTCATTTTCTTTTCCCTAGTGAATTGTGGAAAGCCTGATGTGGACTTTAATGGGATGGTGTATGGGAGTGATTGGTGGGTGGGTTCTGTAGTGCGGTACGACTGCAGGCCAGGGTTCGTGTTGGTGGGAGATCCTGCCTGAGCCTGTCAGTCCAATGGGAAATGGACACCCAAACCATCCTGTCTCAGTAAATCCTGGTCTGGCTGGACGTTGTACACAAATTATGGAATTACCCAGAAAGTGCACACAAAACTGAGACCTAATCTGTCTTAATCTCATGTACTGTTTGTATAGTATATGAGAGACTGAACACAAACTAAAGTTGTTATAGTTAGTACTGTTACTTTGAGAGGTGCTAAAAATAATTCTTCAAAATTACCTCACACTGTAAGAAAAAAATCGATAGATAAATGGAAAAGGTACTGGACATTTTCTGTCAGGACTTTATCCATGAAGTGCAGGCATTTACTTTAATCCTAAAACACAACAAAATGCAATGTATACGTCAAAGGAAAGGGAAAACACCTGTGAAAAATCACTACAGATGCTTCTTTCGTATTAACACGTCCTGGTCTGGCTGGACGTTGTACACAAATTATGGAATTACCCAGAAAGTGCAACAGTAATCTCATGTACTGTTTGCATAGTAAATGAGAGACTGAACACAAACTAAAGTTGTTATAGTTAGTACTGTTACTTTGAGAGGTGCTAAAAATAATTCTTCAAAATTACCTCACACTGTAAGAAAAAAATTCATAGATAAATGGAAAAGGTACTGGACATTTTCTGTCAGGACTTTATCCATGAAGTGCAGGCATTTACTTTAATCCTAAAACACAACAAAATGCAATGCATACGTCAAAGGAAAGGGAAAACACCTGTGAAAAATCACTACAGATGCTTCTTTCGTATTAACACATAAGTACATTGTTCCCTATTTTTAAAGATTTTTCTTAGAGTGCATAGTCATTGTCCATAACATGAAAACATGAAATATCTAGTACTGATACATAATATTTTTAATAAAAAGTGCATACATGTATTAAGTTGATCAGCTTTTTAAAAAATATTTTTATATTATTAAAATATTTGACTTTAGGTCAAAGTCTGTCTTGGAGATTAAACAATAGTTATGGTCAGTTACATTTTACACCGAAGTGAATTTCATTGGCTATATTCAATATAAGTTAGGTACAATTCTGTCTCTCCTCCTGTATGTGACATTAGGAGTGTGTCATCGTGGCCGGGTTGAGATCAGTGAGAAGGACATTGACGGGACATGTTCGTCCACCTGTCCTGATGCTAAGACCTATGCTGTCCCTCTGAACCACAAATGCAGTCGAATTGAGAACTGCAGAACTAAAGAATCGGGCTGGAAGTGCTGGTTTACACGCTGCAACTACTGTGACTGCGACTGCTTCACTCCCTGCGGTAAGTTTTTATAGAGTCATTTAAATTGTGGCTAGTTAAAACAAGTGGCAAATACTGTAACTGCAGTAATGCAAACAGTATTTCAAAATCAGTGTTCTTGTTTGTTCCCTCAAGCTTCTACAGGATAGAAGACAGGGAATCTGTATTCATTTTCCTTTTCTACAAAAGCCTAAACGTTCGGAAATGTTTTTCCCTTATACTGTATGTGTATAGTAGTACAGAGATGAACTCATAATGTTGTTACCCTCTGAGCATAAGCCAGGTGAAGAGGGAGCTCTATGAGTGCTGAATATACAGTACTGGGAATGTACATTTGATTGTATCTAGTTAGTTAGTCACAATTGTGGAAAGATAAGAGACACATTTCAGTTCCATATGTGATTTTATTAGAACATTATGCTTCTGTAGATACAATGTAATTATTAGTTTATTCATTCACTTCATGATTGATACAAGATTAATGTAGTATAGTATTAATATAGTTGAATCAGAGTTCAGAATCAGAGGGGTCTCGTTTATAACCATACATGTGATAGTAGAAAACAAATCTCCTTTTAGTCCCAAGTGGTGAAATTCATGATGAAATTCTCCTTTTTCTTGGGTTGGTAGCAGCCGATTCCTGTTGAAGATTGAGGGGAAAAAAATCTTTTATATTTGTGTTGTAAATAAAGTGAAACCAAAAAAAAAAAAAAACGGTCTTGCTCCAATATATTTGCACACATACTGTGTGACATAAAGTGAGTGCTATATAATTAAACTGATGCACTTACCCACGTTCAGTCGGGTTATAGTGTTTCCTTTCTTTGACAGAAGCTCCCAGTATGTGTGGTTTTCAGTAGATCCAGCCAGTCCGTTCACACTCTGCAGATATATGCCATAGCTTTTGCTAATGGTGTATGTGAAGCTAATAGAAATACATGTAGCAAAATTAGCACAAAAAATAAAATTAGCACTACAACAGTTCCTTATAGTCCTGAACATTGTACAGTAGACTGTAGAGGTTTCCCCATAACCTATTAACCTACTATACTATGCTTGTAAAGTACATAAAACCAGAATAATTTGATAACGTTTAATGCCATACTTGAAGTTGTTGTTTCTGTCATGTAGTTGATTTAAGACCCCAAACATCGGCATTCCCACTGTCACAATAGGGGAGTAGGAGACGTTTGTGTTATTGAATTTATTAATGACCGTCACCTTAATGGGGATCTGTTCCTGCTTTCCTGTTAAGAAGATAAATTTTGTGCAAGAGTCTCAGAGAATCCTATAAATCATACTTCTCAAATGTTATTTGACCTCAAATGATTTCAATTCAATCATGTTTCTCCTCGTTTGAAACAGAAATCATGGCTTTATAGAGGAAAACTCACCCGAGTGGTCATCACGTCCCCCCAGTCCTGGGAAAGGCAGCAAAGCTGCAAAGCACAGAAGACTAATCGCTGTCAGAGCCATTCTACCAGTCTGCACAGTGTATCTGAATGTCTCTCACAACCACACACCCTATATTTATATTTATTTTTTTGCATTCCAAATTTTTAAGTCATATAATTTCTGGGAAAGTCATACCTTAAAAAGGAGTGGTCAGCCAAGAACATGAGGAAAGAACATCAAACAGATCTATGATCGTTACATTGATTCTTTGTTCTTGTCTTCCAAAAACGTATTCAGTCATCACATTACAGGAAAAAAGGAAGAGAATCTTCTTAGGATTGCTAATCGCAAAAGTACCAGGAAATAAATAAATAAATATAACAAAGAATGCACTGTTGCCAAAAAATATTTTTGAAGAAAAACATTCCACACTGTTTAAAAAAAAAGAAAAAAAAGCAACTATAGAAGCTCCCAGAGCCCGTGGTTTTCAGTAGATCCAGCCAGTCTGTTCATAATCTGCAGATATATGCTAAAGCTTTTGTTAATACTGTATATGAAACTAATAGAATTGAGCAGAATTAACACACACACAAATTAAAGGCTTGTACAATAGAATGACAACACAATCCTTGAGTCAGGGACTGTGTGTTCAGGTTTGACAGGTAGTAAAATTAATGCAGAAAATGACATTTCCAAAAAAAAAGAATATATAGGATTTTTTTCCCATATCTTAAAAAGGAGTGGTCAGCCAAGAAATGCAGGGAAACAAAGATTATGACAAACAAAGAAATATGGAATTTACTTAAAGCTCATGTGAAAGTCAAGCTAAACAGCAAATATGACATCCCATGGCTCACTCCCTAAACCTTGTCCATATTGACTAGTCAGATCTGACTGTAATAGCATCTCATCTCATCAGAGATTATAGAATAATTATAGTTACTTTAATTAATTGTCCTTGTCTTACACAAACATATTCAGTCATCACATTATAATTAGGTTTAAGTACTATACTATTATATGCTATGCTATACTATATTATACTATACTATCTCTTTTTCAATTTACAATGTATTTCACTTTGAATTTGATGAAATTTTAATAGATTTGAAAAATATGCATTTACTTGATTTTTAAATGTCTGTAAATGTTTTTTAAGCAACAAAAAAAAGAGGACGGCAATCTATTTAGGATTTTTTTTATTATTATTGCAAAAGCAATAAATTAAACAAATTAAACCTTAAATATAACAAAGTTATATTTAATGTGCATATTTTAGAGCTGGGAAAATCATTTCACTAGATTTTTACATTTTTTTGAAGACTATATTTAATTGTATGATGTTTTTTTTCTTGCCTGGAAATCACCATTTTAAAATCCCTAATATTTCAAGGTTTTCTATGGTTCTTTATAGCCAGTGAACTAATCCAAATATTGTAACATTAAAGTAGCATAATTTAAGTACACAGCTTCCTCAAGGTCACACATGTAAATAAATGTAAAAAAAGCCCCAGAAAAAAAACTGCAAAGTGAAAAGGACTAATTGTTGTCTGTCTATTTATCTATCTAAATCACTACAAACTCAGTCTACAAAAGCCCAGATATTCTGAAACATTGCTGTTTTTCCTGTTCTGTATTTAGTACAGAGATGAAGCTTTAAACTTGTTACTTGAGCATAAGCCAAGTGAAGAAATATGGAGCCAGATCGGCCTCAAAAATAATACATTTATAAAACAAAATTCATAAATGCACAGCACAATTTACATTTACAAAATCCGTTTTGTAAATTCAAAACACAATTCATAAATACAGAAGTAAAAGCATAATTATTTCCCCAAATAAGCAACAAAAAAAGGAGGACGGCAATCTATTTAGGATTTTTTTATTATTATTGCAAAAGCAATAAATTAAACAAATTAAACCTTAAATATAACAAAGTTATATTTAATGTGCATATTTTAGAGCTGGGGAAATCATTTCACTAGATTTTTACATTTTTTTGAAGACTATATTTAATTGTATGATGTTTTTTTTCTTGCCTGGAAATCACCATTTTAAAATCCCTAATATTTCAAGGTTTTCTATGGTTCTTTATAGCCAGTGAACTAATCCAAATATTGTAACATTAAAGTAGCATAATTTAAGTACACAGCTTCCTCAAGGTCACACATGTAAATAAATGTAAAAAAAAGCCCCAGAAAAAAAACTGCAAAGTGAAAAGGACTAATTGTTGTCTGTCTATTTATCTATCTAAATCACTACAAACTCAGTCTACAAAAGCCCAGATATTCTGAAACATTGCTGTTTTTCCTGTTCTGTATTTAGTACAGAGATGAAGCTTTAAACTTGTTACTTGAGCATAAGCCAAGTGAAGAAATATGGAGCCAGATCGGCCTCAAAAATAATACATTTATAAAACAAAATTCATAAATGCACAGCACAATTTACATTTACAAAATCCGATTTGTAAATTCAAAACACAATTCATAAATACAGAAGTAAAAGCATAATTATTTCCCCAAATTCTCTCACAAAAGCATAAATACATTTAAAATGTTTACACAAATATATCAAGTTCTTGAATTAATTTCCATCACACATTTATGAATGATGTTACATGTATTTATGGATCGTTGAATCTGCATTTGCAAATTGTCACACATGCGTGGACCGCTTTGAATTTATGTGCGGTATTTTTGAGACCTTCCTGGCAGGTTAAGATTCATAAATATCTTTTTTTTTTTTTGGAGGATGTTCCGTCCAGCCAATCGCGGGGAGCTTTTAATCCACCAATCAAAACACTCTTTACTGAACAGACTCAAGAAGCTCAACGCTGCGCTTGTACTGTGCATTGTTTCTATGATCGGGTCCTTGATGTAAAGAATTTTAAAGGGTGCTCTTTTTTTTTTTTTAGCACCTGATTACAATTTCTACAAAATCCCATTATGATTTATATCGTTCGCACAAAATACAGCTACCCGGTTTGCCTGCTGTCTTATACACCAAAGTTGCACATACCCTGTTTATTCAGATCAATCTGTAATGTTATCAAATAAGTGTTAATTGTTCAGATATTTCATTTAATAACATTTATGTAATGTGTTCTGTTGTTGTTATTAGTAGTAGTAGGCTATCAGATTCGCAATAACTTTTGATCAGGCATTAAAAACAGCTATCACCACCGAAGGGAGATTTCGAACACGCACAGCGGAGAGATTTAGCATGGAGGATGAAAACCACACTCAACGAGTGAGTAAAGTCATTTTTTTATCTGATGGCATTTTCTTATGATTATAGCTGGTCGCAATGGTAACTTTAGAACCCACTGACTACAAATCGTATTTAAAATTATGCAATAGTTTAGCATCGAAATCGTTGTTTTACTGATTGTTTATCGCCCATTCATCCTGTGATTACTAAAGTGTTCCTACAAACACCAGACTCCTCAAGAAAGTCCACATGCAGTCACGACTGAGCTTTGCCAAAACACACCTTGAAGATTCTGAGGCAGATGAGACTAAAATTGTATTATTTGGTCTCAACACCAAACGATATGTCTGGTGGAAATCCAATACAGCTCACCATCAAAGAGAAGAAGGTTTATCTTCCAACATGACAATGACCCAAAGCACACAGCAAAACTGACCACACAGTGGTTCAAGAGAAAAAGATGAATGTCCTTGCATGGCCTAGTCAGAGCCCAGACTTAAACCCCATTGAAAATCTGTGGAATGACTTGAAGACTGCAGTCCACAAACTCTCACCATCAAATTGAACTGAACTTGAGCAGTTCTGCAGAGAAGAGTGGGCAAATATTGCAAAGTCTAGCTGTGCAAAGTTAGTCGAGACAAAGACATATCCCAACAGACTAAAGGTTGTAATTAAAGTAAAAGGTGGTTCAACAAAATACTGACACATTCTTTTCTATACCTACTCTATTCTATTTGTTTGACTCCAGTTAGTTAGTATTGTTAAAAGATCAGGGAGGCTTTTCAGTTTCATCAGCATAAGTTTATTAGAGTATTATACTGAGAACACAATGAAATTACGAGTTTATTAATTCAGTTAAATTGTGTGTTGATTCCAATATGTGGTTTTAATTCGGCAGTAATATTTAGAATAACTTAATACAACTGATGTTTAGAAAAAAAATATCTATTTTTTGGCCTAAGTGGTGAACCTCAGGATCATATTCTCGTCTCTCTGGGGTTGGTAGCAGCCAATTCCTGCAAAACATTGAGACATTCCAGAATCCAGAGTATAAATAATCTATATTTAAAAGGAAGCTATTTGTATTTTGTGCATTTGAAAACTATTTTGATTTAATTATTTTGTGTTATAAATTAAGTCAAGATTAAGCCAAATTTCCTTTCCTGCACCACAACAATAAAATAATGTTATATGATTATCTTCATTCACGTACCCACTTCCAGTCGGGTTATAACTCCTGCTTTCTCAGACAGAAGCTCCCAGTATGTCTGATCCTTATCAGATCCAGCCAATCCGTTCACACTCTCCAGATATATGCCAAAGGTTTTATGAATAGTGTATGTGAATCTATTGTTGTATCAAAAATGAAGAATTAATCAGAATTAGCACAAAAATTCTGTTCACAGTCTGCTTTCGAAATATTGTGTTAGCCCTAAGCCTTTACAATGAACTGACAAGACAACTGTTGAGTCAGGTATGACTGGAAAAACATCTCAGGCTTATCACAGATAGGCCCCATTTCCCCATAATCGTATTCAGTCATTACAGAAGTGCTTTTGATTAAGTATTCAGTTATAGTATAGTCAGTCATCACAAGTAAGTTAATCACAACCAAAGTTAATCAGGTATACTCTTCTATACTACAATCACATTACTGCATGTGAAGTGTACTAAACAAGTAAATTCAGTAAAAGTTTGTGGAGTACTTGAAACCGTCGTTGGTGTCCTGCAGTTGATTTAAGACACCAAACATCAGCCCTTCCTCTACCACAGTGGTGGAGTAGGAGATCTGCTCATTAGTTAATTCATTAATGACAGTCACTCTAACGGGTACCTG